TACTATTATTTTCATATCTTATGTACTAGATCAGAACTTAGTAAAATGCTCATAAGTTTAAAAAGAAAAATGGAAAGAAAACAAATTATAACAAGTTTTGAGTACTCTCCATTCGTTCTTTTGATTCGCATTGCTAGTAAAATAGTTTATGAACTTAATGTTCATATGAATATATAATAATAAGTATATTTCTGATTCAATACTAGCAAAACTCGATTGTTACCAACTGAAATCTTTTTTAACCAGAGGTTAGGATGAAAAAGTCAGTGTAGGAGAAGTATTCACATCGTTGAGAATAGCGCCTTAATTAATCATATTAAATTATTTACAACTCATTTCTTGTACCTAGGCACTCATATGAATAGTAAACTTTCGTATCTTCATGCACATCTTAGTAAGTGAGAGTGAGGATAATGTATTAAATACTCTTTATCAGTTATTACATTACCATTGGAATAAGACACGAATGTTGATGTAGTAGTTGTTTGAACGACGCTTATCATCGTTGTTGCTATAAACAAAGATAGTTTCTTAACAATATAGAAAAAGAAAGGAAGAAAGACATATTTAACATACCATTAGTTGTTGCTGTGGTTGTATCTAAAACAAATATAGAATTTTGTTTACTTTAGGTATTTAATTTATCGAAAATAAGAGTCAATTGCATAAGAATATAATATGAATAATACCTTTCTCAAGAATTTTAATCCGATGAATAAGATCACTTATCATTATATATACGTATACTTACTACAGACGTTCGATGACAAAAGAATTTTTTGAATTCTGTTATTATACTGATCGGTGACGAATATATTTCCATAACTGTCAAAATTCATGCTTTGTGGAGCATATAATTGGCTGGATGATGAACCAGATCCGGAACATGACATTATACATCGAAAACCGTTAGGTCCTGAACCAATAATACGACTGTTGCCATTGTCAACAATAAAAACATATCCACTACCATCAAGTATAACTCCAGTTGGATGATAGAGTGTGATGGCTCCTGTTGATATTGTTGTTCCATTCAATTGTCCTGATGCAAATTTTTGAATTCGACTGTTTGCATAATCAGCCACATATAAGTTCAAGTATTTATCAACAAAGATTCCACAAGGACTGTTAAGTGTAGTCGACGTTGACCCAGCTGTATTACTTACACCGGCGACATTACTCCATACATTTAAATTTTGGATCAACGATTTGTAGATAACTTGATGATACGAAAATATTGAGCAGTAAAGCATATTGTTAATATCCACAAAAATACCATAGCATATTGAACATATATACATTGCTGGAACACTATTTGTCGTATTCCATGCCCATTTGTCAACTCGATAATTTGAGTAGGCGTTACCAACATAAAGATCCCCATTGTCCGTAACGAAGAGAGGATAAGGTGTGGTTAAACCACTTGAAATATTTCCAGTAAGTGTAGTACTTCCATTAAACCATATTAAAATCCTCCCATCCGTATAATCAGCTGCATAGACAGTATTATTTGTGTCGACAAAAATACCGAGAGGATGTGTGCCGACCAAGATGCTTGTGGCAAAAGTTATAGCCGTCTGATTCCACGTTGCATTTGGACAAAATTTAGGTTGATTGTAGGAAATACCTAGATAAAATAATAAGAATTATTTTAAACCTAACGATAGACATTCTACATTCAATCAGTTTATTCATAATGCTCTCATAGATATTTATTTCCAAAGAAAAATTGTTGCATGAAATTAAATATCTTATTTTTACATTAAATACATTAACAATTTTAACAAAATTCATACCTGATGTTTGCCCAATAAATAGTGATAATAACCAAATAGTGAACATGTTAAATAATATCATGTTATTTATCTGAAATAAAATTTCTTTTCATATCAGTGAATGTTAATATGGAATAAAAACAATTATTAAATAGAATATTTTTACAATCTTCAATAGATTTCTATTACTTAGATAAAATCATATGGAACTAAAAGATTAATATATTTAGAGCATAAATAAAATACAATTATATATTTAATTTTCTATTATAAATATTTTTGTCTCTATAGTAAAAAAAAAAAGAATTTTGAAATGTTTTAAAGATTATTAATTTTTATAGTATGACATAAGCGATGACTCATTTTAGAAAAATTACTGTAATGAATAGTAACTTTTTGAAAAACTAATTCTTATATTTTATCTTATCTATATTGTATTTATAAATATCAACAATATATTAATACGAAAGAATCTACTTTTTTACCTAGAAATAAATTGGAGCTATTCTATTTAATTTTAAAAAAATCTAGTTTATTGTCCTTTTCATTATCATCGAAAGGTTAAAGAGAATGCAGTTCAAGGGACATTCTATGAATAGGTTTCTATTTAATATTTTTTAATAATATTAAAAAGGAAAATGTTTGTTTGTTTGTTGTAATTTATTCTCTAAGCGATTTTCTTATTCTAAAATCCAATTGTGCAACAAGAAAGATTGTTTTTTTATATCCTATTTATATGAGAGAGAATAATCATTTTTCATTTAATTACTATATTCGATCGAACATCTATATATTTATTTTAAAATATTTGTTAATCGATATTTTTTAAAACAAAAAAAAAGACTCGAGAAAATATTTGCTTTTCTAACATTTGCATATTGTTACTTATACAATAAGATCAAGAGTATTACATTTCTTTATAACATTACTGATATTATGATCTGACTCGTGGAGATTAATAATTATTTTGACTAAATAATAAATGCGTAAACTTCGGATTTCATCCGAGAGTTATGTGTACTGCAAAAAGTGTATATGGAAATCATAGGGAAATATCAGTATTTTTGCAATAACTTGAGAATGACTCGTTCAATTAGGCTCGGCTTCGAACTCGATCGAGATCTTGATGAGACTGAATTGTGTAGAAAATTTCATCAAAATCAGCCTCTCCTTTCGAAAGCTATCGTGTATACAGGCTTGACGGACGGTCGGGCATACTGACCGATTCTAGACTGTATTCAGTTTTTGAATACACGAGATGAACCACGACTCAGCTAGAACAAAGAAATTTTCATTTATGCAAATGAATAAAACCTCCGGAACTAAATCCTCGCCGCTTCCTACGGAACAAAAAGAAGGCGTCCGCAGGGCCTAAGGAGCAGTTCCTTAGTGCGCTCAAGGATGAATTTTTTTAGGCTGATTGATCAAAACCAATATATCGTGGACTTCACTTTTCGAGTACATAAGAATAACTTTCACTTTAAGGAAAACAAACGAATATCACACAGACACACTATTAAGATATATACTTTTTCATAGTTTTTCGCAAGTGTGATACTGAACAGATATTAAACGCAACATATCCACTCCCTATTATTTTATATCATTGTATAGCTCTTGACGAGTTCCATCTACTCTAAAAAACAAGTGCTGTTAATAATATGAAAAACAAACAAATATCGCACTGACACATTGTCAACATATGTGAGTTTTCTATAGTTTACCGATCCTGTCATACAGAGGAAATCTTGTGTGCAACCTATTTACCCCTATAATTTAGTACCATCTTGTAGCTCATAAATTTCTCTATTGAATCGTATATAATAAGTGGGATTTTATTTCACTCTAGTAGAAAAGGATGTGGGTGTGGGTGTGGGAGTGGATGTGGGTGTCGGAGTGGGTGTGGGTGTCGGAGTGGGTGTGGAAGTGGGTGTGGGTGTCGGAGTGGGTGTCGGAGTGGGTGTGGGTGTGGGTGTGGGTGTGGGTGTCGGAGTGGGTGTGGGAGTGGAAGTGGGTGTGGGTGTCGGAGTGGGTGTGGCAGTGGCGGATTTAGGGGGGGGAGGCGATCGCCCCCCCTTCCGAATTTTTTTTTGATTTTTTACGGCAAAAATGAACGAAAAAATAGGTTCACACTACTTCGGTTGGACTCAAAAAATAGCTTTTAACCAAAATCGGCCCCCCCGTCTCCAGGTATCGCCCCTCCATACTCAAGAAAAAAAAAATCCCCCACCTCCTTCCCAGGCATCGATTCTCCATACTAAAAGAAAAAAAATCGCCCCCTCCTTCCAAAATCCTAGATCCGCCACTGGGGTGTGGGTATGGCTGTGAGTGTCGGTCTGGGTGGGTGTGAGTGTATTTATCTTCTCTTAACCTACACCCACATCCACACGCAGATCCACACCCTTCTAAATCTTTTGTATTTATACTGACCCGACAGAAATCGTGTTCCACTAATAACATTCATTCTAGCAGCATCCACATCAGCTAACATATTTCCATTTTGGTTCAACATATTATCAAATAATTCTCAATTAAAAGTTGATTGACGAAAAGTTGCTGCTGTGCATTGACTTTGGCGTAAACAGGCGAATTGACATTTCTTAACGTTTAATGTAATAACATTAATGAATGGTAAACAAGTTGTATTCGCACATTGAAAATTGGAATTAATCATTAAAGACATTATCATTTCTTCTCCGGCTACTTGTGTAATAATCATAAATAAAAACCATAAACAAACTCTTGTTGAAGCCATTAGCCACCAGATTCTATGTTGATCAAATGGATTCAATTCATAATAGAACACAGAATATTTATAGAGCAATAAATTCTTTTTTTTCCGTCTCTTTTGAGTGGGTAGTGCATCGTTTTTTCTCAAGATTGACGTCATCGATCTAACGGAGAAACAGTCCTGATGTCTTTTTCTTAGAATTTGTTTCATTACTCTAACGGAGAAACAGTCCCGACATCTTTTTGCTAGAATTCATCCCATCAATTTAACCAAACAAAGTAGGCATGACTTTTTTATTTAAAAACGTCATATACCTATCCGGAGAGATGATTTTCCTGCGTGTTTAAATGTTATTTGCGGACAAATATATTTATAAATAGCGCTTTGGACTTATATAAAAGATGGAAGCAGAAAGAAGGATCGGAGTTGGTGAATGTGGGTGTGGATATGGGTGTGTGTTACGAGAGTTACAATAAACTCACACACACATTCACACCCACCCACTCACACCCACATTCACACCCATACCCATTCTACATCCACCCACTCACACCCATACCCATTCTACATCCACCCACTCACACCCAGATTCACACCCACTCACACCCTAGTTAAATATTGATTTATCATAACAGCACATTCGAATGTACTTTTTTCTTTAATGAAAAATAATTCCTTGAATAAATGTTTGCCTTATGTTACTTTTATTTATTGTATGCTGCTATATGATGTTTTATGTAAACAGAACAAGAAATAGAGAGCTTGTAAAACCATGTAGACTATATTATCATCATAATGATATAAACTACGTTGTTTCACAAAAAGAGAAATGCATATGAATAAAACAATGATGGAAACAAAAAATTAGCCTTTTTTCAATAGAAAACAGAATCTCCATGATTACATTAGAAAAACTAAGTCGATGACATGTCTTTTCTTTCTTCTAATATTTTGTTGAAGAAAAATAGAAGAAATATTCTTTCAAAGTTTGAATATAGTATACACAAAGCCAAGGTAAATGATAATTTCTGATAAATAAACATTTCTTTTTTCTTCTTCTTCTTCAGATTCTAATGATAATGGATTGTCTACTAAAGAATATGTTATACACGAATATATTCACATTTGGAAATGTTTGTTTTATCTTCTTCGTGCAAGCCAATATTAATCTGAGAGTATTGATTATATCTATATTTTTATTGTGATAGAGAAAAAGAGATTAATAATGATTGCGTAAATATTACAATTTTAATATTTACTCTACGATATTAGATATGAAGTAGCTATAGACTGCTATTTAAGAATAAAGGTAATAGTGATACCATAAATCATAACTAGAAGTTAGAAAACACAAAATTTGATGGTCCAAATGTTCAAGTGATTGATCGAAGATGATTTAGAATACAAAGATCATGCAGGGTCATACTTTACAACTATTTGTTTAATACACATAGATCTAATCAGCTCGTGTATACAGCTCGTAGAATCAAATATTGTTGCGCAGAAAAATTCTCTGATAAATAAGTGAAACATACACTAAATGAGAAAGACATTATTTTCTGATTTCCTAAAAAGTTTTATAATAAAATTAATATGATATATTCTATATCACGGAAGTAAGTGAAACGCCGAGTTTTTGATAGTTAGTTATCTAAAAAAACAGGATGTATAATGACAGTTCAAAACTATACATCGTATAAGTGGTTATGAATTGCATCAGTTTATTAAATAACAAGTCAATATGTTCTATGTGAGTTTGTGTCTTTGTATATTACTTTTTTATGATTCACTTCGGTCTATTAGAAAAAAACAGAATATATCAAAATATGCAACATGAAAAGCTCTACAATTTACAAAAAAGAAATAAGAAAAAATGAATTCATCTTTTATTAAAACAATAGATCATTTTAGCATGATCAAAATATAATCAATTCAACTTTTTATCCATTTTGAAAACAGAAAGTACCACTAGAAAATAGATAGTCGAACGTAAATTGTAGAGCCTTTCACGCTGCGTCTGTTGATAACAAAAAAGTGTTTCATTCAAATGGATAGTAGAACAGAAATATTAGGAATACAAGGAGCCTAATTTATTCTCGGACACTCGTTATATTATAATTTACAAGATTTTTCAAGAACTTTCTTCTTACATACATACACTTAATAAACATACAATCTGTATTATCAAATAATTAGTCTGTGATTATAACCAAAGGCTGTTTCACTTCTTCAGAACTGTATCAAAATTTAATTCTTTTCACAGGGGTCTCTAGTTTATTATAATATTCTAGATGTCATGTTATATAATAGATTTTCATCAGTTCGTGTATACAGCT